CTTTAAGTTTTTGTTCATGGATTTAGACACACTTTAGGTCTGACATCGGATATCATTTTTAGGCTCATTCATATCTGTGCAGCTGTGCTTTTTACATATCGTGAGGGAAAATAGAACATCCATTTTATATATCAAACATTTAGTTTTCATTAAGTGGATATATATTGAATGTATATTTTGTTATTAGAAGTCTTCTTGTGTAACAGCTGTTTTTCTTGTGTTAGAATGCTATTCACACGTCCAGCTGGGAAGATTGCTATCTAAAGAAGCACCGGGAAGTAACATGCTTGTGTGATTCTCCACCAGAAACCAGAATGTAACTTCAAAGCAGCCAGATAGCTAGATTCCCACCCATCTTAAGACATATAAATTGTATTAGCTTTCCAAGGCAGATTACTTTTGAATCCAACACTGTATTATATTGCTCTCCCTGTATGTAGTTCTAGCTACATGCTTGTATAATAAACATCTACTTTTCAATCTGGCTTCAGCAGTCAAAATGTAACTGAAACCCATCTGTTTTGGGTTTCCCCGTCACATATGGATACAGGTGTAGATCTCAATCATAAAACACTTCTCCTTTTTCTGTCTATTCTATGTGAGCCAGGGTCTGCTCAATTGGCTCTGTTTTGTAACGTTTCAATCTAAATAAAAAAAAAAAAAAAGTTGCAAAAAATAAATTACTGCAGGCTGATCCTAATATATTGTCTTTACAGCAGACTAGAAGTGGGATTGTTCTATTGGGAAGACAACACTAAATTTTGGATGGCAAATAGCCATACATAGTTAGCTGGCCAAACACGGTTAATCTTTTTTTTTGTTCAGCCAATGGACTGAATGAAAAAAAAGATGAACAGGTTTCTCCAGCCACACAAACCAGGTGGATGGAGGAATCCCCCCACCGGAACTGATCGAGTAAATAATTGACTTCTTCTGAGCAGGGGATGCCACAATTTAATTTCAATGAGTGTATGGCCAACATAAATAGCCAACTAAAATGTATTAAAAAGAAGGATTTCCAAATACAACTACAAAGTGGAAAACCTGTGGGCATGCCGGTTGTTCCTGGGGATTAAGGGACTATCTTCTTTGATCAGCTATTTAATATGCACAACGAAGCAGCTCCTAGGCTACTACTGCTAAGAGATTATCAGTGCCTTCCAATGTGACACACAACGAATGCAGAAAGCGATTTGCTTTCAAGGAGTCAGCAAAGCTAGGCTGCGCTGTACCATAAAAATTACAACTGACAACCAATAGTGAGGAAAGTATGCACAGAGTATTCTTTCTAGATGAAAGCAGAAAGCCACCTTTAGCTGTACATATGGATAAATCAAATGAATAAAGATGCAGATGACATACCTCCAAGCATTCTCTTTGGTGGGAGAGATGGTACCATGCGGTATGGATATTTCTGCAACAACATTTCCTGGAACATGACAAAGTCATTGTATCTTCTATACACGGAAGACTTAAAGAACTGTAAAGAGAAATCAACAGGTCAAGATTTTAAAACAGGGATCTGGATGTCATTCTCAATCAATAATAATAGGTTGTATACAGCATTGTATGTACAGCATTAGGCCTATGTCAGACTGAATGCAACCCACCAGCAACAGCATCACATGGGCACTCACCTGCTTTTACATCCCTGCTCCTTCAGGGGTGAAATGTTTGCTAGCCAGAGGGGTTCAGCATGACATAACACTTTGTTGGTCTGGCCAGCAAGGGAGAAAAATCATAAAAACAGCTAAGTGGTTTCTTTGCTCTTTGACATAGGTCTTAATAAGTATAATTATATTATTAAAGGATAGGTTCACCTTTGGAGCATGTTACATGTTCCCCCTATTTTAGGGTGGAACATGGAACAGGTTCCCATAGACGCAGCTGCGCCCTCTCTCCCTGCGACAGATAGTACGGGGAGAAGTTTCCCCATACTATATGTCAGATTTGAAAACAGTGCAACCACACGGGGCTCTGCCCACAATCACTTATTATCAGCTTTACTGAATCATATCATGCGTCTCTGCACTGATGGTATAAAAAAAAAAATTATATATTTATTTCTATTTAATATATGTTATAATGTTGGTAAATGATTCCATTTTGATTAACATGTTTTTCTGACACCTATGCTCCTCCTTTCTTGGGACTGCCCAGCCCATTTGGGAGGGCTCAGTGTTAGTTCCACGAGATCTATCTATCTATCTATCTATATATATATATAAATATATAAATAAAAGGGCACTCATGGTCTTGTTAGGGGAGGAAGAAGGGACCCCCCCTTCTTCGAAACGTGTCAGCTGAACTCAGTCTCCCCTCTTGATGTGACTCGCACTGCTCTTGTACTTCAGTGTTCCTTTCAGGATTTTATACGCTTGTTATACTGATTGAGATATATATATATATATATATATATATATATATATATATATATATATATATATATAATCTCTATATCTATATATATATATATAAATATAATTTTTAATAAAATCACAGTTTTTTATTGAGGTAATGCGCAAGGTTTGTGCGCTCTTTTTGTTTTCACTTGCAGTGATTTATGTACATTGCAGGGATGGTAAGCTTTGTTGCAGGTTCCTACTTTTTGTTATTCTGAAGAAATGGTTGTTTGTCTGTGTCCATATGTAAAATGAATGGACAAGGGAGTGATTTACAGTTAATAATCAGCTGTTGCACTTGCAGGGTTATAATGAGGAAAGCAGCAGGGTCTGCATCCCTTTAGATGCAATTCCCTTTGGATGTAACGCACCAAAATGGCATTTTTGTCACAGGGGATGCCCAAAATCTGACTTGTATTTTACGGATTTTCCCAAAAGTCAATCACACAAGCAAGAAATAACATTTCTGGGGGGTGTTCTATACACCAACTGTGTAAAGAATGCATCCAGGTTGCCATATTGCATTTTACTGAAAAGGAAAAGTAATTTTTAATAACATTCAATTACAATATCACTTTTGTTGCAATTGTATATGCTGTATTTTTTCACCATGAAAAGTGGAGTCATCCTTGAAGTGAGAAAACAGGAGGTCTTGGGTGGAGCTTGGGAGGTTTTTGGAAATTCACAGGTTCAAGATTGTCCATAGGGAGACACTAGAAGGTGGGCACTTCTCCAATTGGAGAAGGTGGGCCCCAAATCAAAAAATGGACTTGTACTTTTCTTGATAAAGGGAATTTGCATCAAAATTCCTCTCTTTCCTTTATTTGACCTTTCTCACAAGTATAGCTTATGGCACCAAACAGAGATTCTTCTACGCTGACTCCTGCTGGCGAAATATAGCATCACAGTCTGACAAAACTGACACAAAGCTGTTCTAAGAGCACCAATGTAGTTCAATGGTCAGATGTTCAAGAAATCAGTGGATAGATATAACCGCCACTTAAAAAAGCACTGCAGGAGGTACGGACCAGGGGCGGACTGACCATTTGGAAACTCGGGCACTGCCCGAGGGCCCGGGGTCAGTAGGGGGCCCCATGAGATGCCCCTGGTACCTTTTTCATGGGCTTTTTTGAGTTTGGGCAAGGACACAGGGGCCCCATGAGTTGTCAGTCCGCCCCTGGTACGGACCCATCTCAGGCGACGAACAAAGCAGTTCAAAGAGCACCAATGAAGTTCAATGATCAGATGTTCAAGAAATCAGTGAATAGACATAACCGCCACTTACAAAGCACTGAGGTAGGGACCCATCTCAGGCGACGAACAAACCAGTTCCAAGCAGATACAAGTTCCATTTAAAGTGTAAATCTTTTTAACGCTATTTATATCACATGACAATAAAATCTGCTGTGATCTCACCTGACTGGACACCTCGTACTCCACATGTTTAAGGAACAAGCCTTTCTTCTCCGGGATGAGCTCCACCTGCACTGTATCGTGACCCAGTAATTCCTGCAATGTATACGTCAGCATCAGAGGACTTCCCTGGCTCCCCTGCATCGTGCAGCATTCAGGGTGTACTAGCCAACCTATAAGAAGATTCATTTCGGTTTATTGACCACACCAAGAGATGATCACATGTAGCTTCAAGCAATATCTGATTACAGAACGTAGCTATACTTACTGCAGCCAAACAAGGCTTCACTTACAGGAAACAGTAGAGGCGGCAGAAGTTGTGTTTTAACAGCAATAATAACCTAATGCCTCCTGTAGAAGAGGGATTTGTCATACTAAAGGGTAAAGTCTGCCTTTGCGTTCCTGTTAACTAAGTCACATATGAAAGGTATAAATGAAGCTACAGCAAGTGTCCTTAAAGTGGAACTTCACTCTCAGTCAACAATGGCCATTTTGAATCTTTATATTGCTAGCATTAGTAAATAGATAGGAAAGTATATTATATTTACATGTATCTCAGCTAAGCACACCCTCCTAAGGGCAAATGGATTCCAGGAAGTAAATGCTACATCAATCATCTGCCCTTACTCAAGATGGCCACCGCCAGAAATGCTAGGGGGTGTTTTCCTAAGTGATTTCTCAGCAAAATAAAGCATGGAGACAAAGATGAATGGAGGAGTTTGCTTTGAATATTAACAATATATTAAATAGTACGTATGGAGTGTAGTGTTCAGATACAGTGTAGTTCCAAAGCTTTGTACTTTTTTTTTTTTTTGAAATAAACATGTCATATTCACCTGCTCTGTGCAGTGGTTTTGCACAGAGCAGCCCCAATCCTCCATTTGTTGGGTCCCTTGCCGGCACTCCTGGCTCCTCCCCCTTGACCAGTGCTAAGGGGGCACTGGCGCGTGCTCGCTCTCGAGCCCCGCTCTATGCATTCATAGGACACATGGAGCCACAACTCGGCCTTGCCCCCCCCCCCCCCTTACTCTTTCCCCACTGGCTGTGACTGATGGCAGTGGGAGCCAGTGGCTCCCTCTACAGTGTCTCAGCCAATGAGAGAGAGAGAGACCTGGGATAGCCAAGGCTCCCGTGCACACAGATAGATCGAGACGGGGCTCAGGTAAGGTAAAAAAAAAAAAAAACCTTCATCCTTTACAACCACTTTATTGTGGCCCTATCACATACACAGTACAACACATTAACAGAGTTGCTTGGTGGTTAGCAGGTACAATGTTTGGTCACCACACTAGGAGGACTAGGAGTTTGCATGTTCTCCCTGTGCTTGCGTAATTTCCTCCAGCACTCCAAAACATGCTGGCAGATTAACTGGAACCTGTCCAGATTGACTACTTTGTGTAGCACATCCGCAGCCTCTGGTCATCTCCTGTACTGCGTCCGCAGCCTCTGGTCATCTCCTGTACTATGTCTGCAGTCACTAGTCATCTCCTGAAGTACATCCGCAGTCTCTGGTCATTTCCTGCACTACGTCCCCAGTCTCTTGTCATCTCCTGTACTATATCTGCAGTCACTAGTCATCTCCTGTACTGTGCCCGCAGTCTCTGGTCATCTCCTGTACTGTGTCCGCAGCCTCTGGTCATCTCCTGCACTATGTCCGCAGTCTCTGGTCATCTCCTGTACTGTGTCCGCAGCCTCTGGTCATCTCCTGTACTGTGTCCGCAGCCTCTGGTCATCTCCTGCACTGTGTCCGCAGCCTCTGGTCATCTCCTGCACTATGTCCGCAGCCTCTGGTCATCTCCTGCACTATGTCCGCAGCCTCTGGTCATCTCCTGCACTATGTCCGCAGCCTCTGGTCATCTCCTGCACTATGTCCGCAGCCTCTGGTCATCTCCTGTACTGTGTCCGCAGCCTCTGGTCATCTCCTGTACTATGTCTGCAGTCACTAGTCATCTCCTGAAGTACATCCGCAGTCTCTGGTCATTTCCTGCACTAACGTCCCCAGTCTCTGGTCATCTCCTGTACTATATCTGCAGTCACTAGTCATCTCCTGTAGTACATCCGCAGTCTCTGGTCATTTCCTGCACTATGTTTGCAGTCCATTGGTTCAGAATTTTTTTTTCCTGTTTTCCGCCTGTAAAAACTAGGTGCGTCTTATGGAGCGAAAAATATGGTAATTACAAAAAAAAAAATTATATATATATATATATATATATATATATATATATATATATATATATATATATATATTATGTTATATTTACATTATATATACGCACCACACACACCCACACACACACGCGCACACACACGCACAGAGTATAATGCAATGTTTCCAATATACCCAATAGTATCAAACAAGCCTGTTTATCAATAACCCTCCAAATCAACATTCTACCTTTCACTTGCATCAAAATGAATTCTATATATTTGCTAGCTGAGGCCTCCCTCCATTTTATATTCTTCCACTCACTACCTGATCAGCCGACCCCATCCATCTCAGTGCTTGTTAATGTTTGCCTTTAGACCTGGTACTGTTATTTCATTCTTCAACAACCTGTACATTGTTGTTTTTATATTGCCTTACCGGCCAAATGTTGGGGTCAACCTCTGCTGCCTGCATTCTTGAATAAAAAAAAACCCCAGAGATTTCAACCTTTCCACACCGTCCCCCCCCCCCCCCCAAAAAAAAAAAAAAAAAAACGCAAACATGTCGACTATCAATACATTTTAGGCGTCAATCGCAAAGGCACAGGTCTGTACAGCTCAAATGTGCCCCCCATTTATTAACATAGGCTGCCTGCACACAACTCCATGCTTCTCTAGAAACATAAGCACATGCCTCCTAGACATTATAAGGGCCTCTGCATACATGTGAATAATGATCGCTTAGGCTCAGGGGCGGACTGACAACTCATGGGGCCCCCGGGCAATAGTGGATCATGGGGCCCCTGTGTCCTTGTCCAAACTCAAAAAAGCCTATGAAAAAGGTACCAGGGGCATCTCATGGGGCCCCCACTGACCCCGGGCCCTCGGGCAGTGTCCGAGTTTCCAAATGGTCAGTCCGCCCCTGCTTAGGCTACAATCAAAAGGTGCACAGTGGTGGCCATTGGTGAAAATTTGTAGTTTTTTTTTTTAGAGAATCCATAGAGTTTTGGCTGCACACAAACTGGCTGCTGCTAATTGGCCATCTTCTATGCAGTCATAGGACAGATTGTTGCTGCGTCCATAGGCGGCGTTCACTCACCTCCGAACACATCTGCGCCCTCGTCGGCCCATGTGAATGCAGCCTAATATTTCTCAAACATATAACTATATTACTGCAAGTAAAAAAAAAAAAAAAAAAAAAAAAAAAATCTTTCTCAACAAAGACGCACGCTGTCAGCAAATTAGCTGGAATGCTGAATCGGGATTTTTAGCTGTTAGATTTGTGATTAAACTGACCCTGGAAAAACAGTTGTATTACCCGGTGTCAGATGACACTCAAACACTTGTTTCCTGTTTTGATTTCCCTAACTGCTCTGGTCACAACCACAGACTCTGTAGGAAATGCTGATACAGTTACTGTACTTTCCCTAGAAATTTCATTCTCGCAAAAAGCAACGTGCTGCCCAATGTAAATGTGAAGCTGGACTTTTTTTTTTTTCCCTGAAGTGAAGTGACTGGCCTCAGGTGATACACAGAGGTAAAACAAAGTCACCTACAGAAGTTGTACCTGTTTATCTGTAGTGTTCTCTTCTCTACATCCATTCAAAGTCCAGAAGCTTGTTTGATCTGTCAGAAAAAAAGGGTTGGAGACCTGAAATTACACACTGCAGAACTGAGCGGAGAGAGCTCTGACAGCTGATTGGAGAATGGAAATTAATGGAATGGAGAAAGGAATGCACACCCCCTCCTGATTTGAAGTTATGAACAGAGCTGAGGCTGTCAATCTACTGGAGGTCCCACCCCTGTCACCTTTTATCTCGGTGTCATAAATACAGATAGCAGAAGAATAAAGCAGCAGACAAAAACTACACCTAGTACCCTGGATAGAGACAAGTACACATTATAGAGGGATGTGCTTTGTTTATATTTAATGTCTATCTATAACTACCACTTCCTTAAGTGTAATAAGTGACAAATTAGAAAAACCAATATGCAGCAAAACTTAATTCCCATAGCACAAATAAAACCTTCACCCTTGAAGATATAAATTACCAATATGAAAATGTGCCAAAATTACATAAATAAATAAATACTTGTACAATTCACCTCATAAAGTAACTATATATCAATATTCAAAAAAAAATTCAAAAAAATATAATTCTAAAAAATATTCAAAAAAATATAATAATTCAAAAAAATAAGAAAAAGTCCCAGAAAAAAAGTCCAAACAAAATTAATATAAGTTCAAACAAATTCCAAAAAATATAAGTATAAAAATGAAACTGGGAAATCCTTTTCAATCCTTCCTTTCTTACGATAAACCTCAAACAAAAGAAAATATCACATAGTGCATTATCTTTATAATATAATAAAAAATATTCGTGACGACACTCTGGTGATTATCCAATATAAAATATATTTTATTTTTTAAAAAAAAATTAATGTAAAAAGTGAACCAAGTGCATCAATTTAATTAATTAAAAAAAATATATAAATTAATTAGTGCAACACACTGTGTACTGTGAATCACTCTTCCAGTGCTCCAAAAACAAATCCACACTGTGCCACTTCTATTATAGTAAAGAATATATACCTTACCAACACTCCTCCAAAAACCTGCTTTCAATAATTATCCTATGGATGAGATCCTCCTAAAGTGCTCCCCCAGCTTCCACTGTATTCAGGGCACTATTCCAGCAGGATTTTCCATATCTCCATATCAATGGCACCATATAGATAGAAAGCATATGAGGGACAAATAGTGTAATACCGCCAAAGTAAAGTACAGAGAAACTTTATTAAAACTGCTCACATTTCAAAAGATTTAAAAACCGCTTTAAATACCGTAGAAACCGCCAAGCTACCATCCAGGGAACATCCAGGGACCAACACACAGTCTTTATCCTCTTTTCCCTTTTGTAAAATGGCCGCCAGTCGACTTCCGGTTCCGGTATGCGTCCTGACGTCACAGCCCTATTTATTTATTTATGTAATTTTGGCACATTTTCATATTGTTATATTTAATGTCTGACATTTACAACCACTTTAAAGGAAAACTTGAGTATATGTTCATCAAGGGCCAATTTACGCGGTTGCGTTTTGATGTGCTAAAACGCATATATCATGGCTCAGCATAATAAAGACAGTGTTTCTTCCCATCTTATCAATGCAGTGTGTTTTGAGAAATACCATGTCTGCTTTTTTTTGCATTGCAGGGCCAATAGAACTGAAAGGCAGCACATCAAAACGCATACATCAAGTGTTTTAGTGCATTGTTGACGGGTATCAAAAAGCTGTGGCCAATGGCAGTTAAAGTGGATGAAAAGCCAAAGTCTAATATTCCTATAAATGTTCCCTCGCCCTCCTCCTACCTATCGTGCCTAACCTGTATAAAATAGTTCTTAATACTTTTTATTTTAAATCCGTCCCAATCTGGTCACGTGATCCCGCAGCTACAGCTCATGGAGCGCTCGACAACGGCTGGGGATTCCAAGAGCCATGACGTCACCCATAGGCTCCCATAATCCTGCGTTGTCGACATTCCCTCCTCTCCCCTGCAGCAGCTGCTCACTGACGCAGGGAAGCCGGAGCTGTAAGATCACAATACTGAACCGGACTGGATTAAAAATAGAAAGAGGGGTGAATTCAAATGAAATGTTTAGGAGGTGTGGCAATGGGCAAACGCAAGCATTGAAGCTAAAGGGACTTTCGAGCCAAACGCAGCTATGGCGGCTGAAATGTGGTAGCTCAGTATAAAAAAAAAAATGCAGCAAAAACATCAAAAAATCCAAAAACGCACCCGCATTGCATTTTTGAGTCACATATCTTCTGAAAAGAGAACCGCAAACACAAATGCGGCAAGGCAACGTCACCAGTCCCTTCCACAGAGATTTGGACACGTGCTGTAGACCTGGCATGATTTGCCATTGCTCTATTGTGTGTATGTTCCACTTCCAAGGTTCCAGAGGACTGTGGCCCAGAGCACTTCGCGTATGCGCAGTAGAAGACCAGCGGTGAAGCCACAAAGGCCATACACCTCCTTATTGAAATGCATTGAAAATGCATGCAAAAACATCAAAAACGCACCCGCATTGCATTTTTGAGTCACATACCATGTTTGCTATTTCATCATGGACAGCAAGTTAAAACAAAGAGGCAACGTGAAATTCATGCGTGCATTCTGGCGTGTTTTTGATGCATTTTATATGATTTTTTTTCTCCTTTTTTCCTGTTTTTTCACTGTACGGGGGGGGGGGGGTCCTGTGATTTTTTTGTGGAGTCCGTTGCTTTTTTGATTCATTTTACAGCGTTACAGTCCAGGAAATTGTACGGTATGTGTCCAAAAGTAAGGGCCAGTTCACACCACATGCAATCCAGTGCATTTTTTCCCTGCACCAAAAACGCATTGAAAGTAGGTTATAAGGTTTCCAATGGCATAGTTTACACCAGTGAGGTCAGTTCCAGGGCGTTCCAGAAAAAAAAAAAACAAAAAACAAAACAGTAGACCATGGTGCATTTTTTGTTCCCCCACTTCCTGATACTCAATAGGCATTGAGCCGTAGCCAGGGCTTCACAACTGTCCCCTGGGAAGGCTATGTCACCAGTGCCTTCCACAGAGATCTGGACACATGCTGTAGGAGACCTGGCATGATTTG